ACTTGGTGAGCACATCCAGGGCAACATCTGTTATCTGAAATACTTCAATTGGTATACCATCTATTCCTGGGGCCTTATTTTTTGCTATTTCCAATAGAGTCACTGCAGAGACTTAAATCCATTCTCTGAGAGCAAGCCTTCTGGAGTCTTCTGTGATCCACACTCTTGGTGGTATAACCCATGGGCTCTTACTCTACTAACATAAAAGGGGTTCAAATCCACTAGCAGCTCCAATAGTGAGAGAGAAGTAATTTTCTCCCGCGTGTTTTAACAGCTTCTGAAAACCCACTGGAGGGTCAACTATGGGTTGGTTCAGACCCCACTGCAATAAGGTTTTCATTGACTACACTGGGAGCTTACTCTGATAGGCAAGATAAACCTGCCCATAATCTCACAGATAATCCAGCCTTGGAGAAGGCCCAAGTTAGCAGAAAATTACAGGGCAGCAGTAAGGAGTCTTTGAGATGTAAACGTCATCATTTTAGATCACCAGTTTATGTCAGTGGGAATTTACTTCGTTGTAGAACATAGAAGGCGACTTGGAGACAGGTCCAAGAGGAAGTGACTCCCATACAGAGGTTGGGTGTAGATTCCCTGTCCTGTGGGAAACAGCATGGACAAAATTGAAAAAGGCTCCTTTGACCAATGTAATATCTAGGAAAGCAACCAATGGCTCAGCCAGAAGCAGGGTTATAAGATGATACGTCCTCAGACTCCCTCCCCTAACATCCAAGGCTGTGATTGCATCCTGACATACTCGCACATCTCCATCTACTCACTGTATCTACTTCAGGGCTGCAAAATCACATTTCAAAAACTGGAACTCACATAACAACAGCTCAACTCATTGTTGTCAAGTGGGAACCCACTCATAGCTGACCCTCCAACAGGTTTTCAAGATTGCCCATCTTTCTCCTATGGAGCCACTGTTGGATTTGAACCACTTGCCTTTGAGTTGACTCCACAACTCTTTACCCACTAGGCCACCAGAGCTCTAGGAAGTCACACAAGGTATTCTCAAAATACTAACACATGGCATTATCTTAGCCATTTGGAAAGGTCAGGGTAACTTTGAAACAGGTGTGTGTATCTTTGTGAACAAGGCGCTATCTCTTAACAGGCAGGCCCTGCAGGGCAGGGATTCTGTGTTCTGGACAAGTCTGAGCATACGAAGCTAAACCTTCTATAGTT